CTTTTAAAAAAGCTTATTTTATAAATGAATACTAATATTAGTATTTGTCTCCTACTTTTTCCTGATTTTCATTTGAAATAAATAATACGATTAAATTGCATCAAATGCTATCATTAGAAGACATTCTAAACTATATTCTAAAGATTAATTTCTATAATATAGTAATTAATTAATATTATTACTTTTCTTTGTTTTAAAAAAAACATACAAGATTAAATATTTTAAGTACCTAATAATTTTTATGCACAACTAAAGTAATCTGTTTCAAAGCAAACTACTTCAAGCTCATTACTTTGCCCACTTGTATGATTAATTTAATTAAATTTTTAAATATTAAACACAAATTATACTTGCATTCTTCCCTCCTTAAAAAATTTAGCTTTTTAAATTAACATTATTTCAACAGCTACAAAATTTTTAGGTAATAAAATGCAAAATTGAGGAGATGGTTATAAAAATGACCTGGTTAAGTATGGTATTCGGTTGTTCAAGTTTAAAGTAGTTCAAACTATCAACATTATTATTACTCATTAAGTTCATGATAAATAGCACAAGTATTATTACTAATGTTAAGTTCAGAATGATCATTATTTTTAGCAGTAATGGCTTCATAGCTGTCTTCGAAGCATCCATTGATAATAATGTATAAGTAGTGGACATTCTGAAATAAGTAATAAATTATTACCAATCAAAAATGAAAAAATCAAAATCATCACTTCTATCCCTAATAATTTCAAATTTAAGCTATTTGTTTTTAATAACTTAATATTTGTTCAAGAACTTAATTTGAAATGACTGCAATATCAAAACTTGAAAGTTCGTTTTAACTTTTAAGAAAATGTTTTATACAATAATTACTTAATTAAAAATTACAGTAATTTTAATTTAATTTTATTTAAATAATTTAAAAAAATACTGTACCAGAATTTTAAATTAAGCACTACTAAGAATGTAATGCAAACTTTGTAAAGTGAGTGATTATATTTAGCATTCTCAAGCATTTTACAAAGATTTCTCATAAAGATTACTGCTTATCATTTTGTACAGAATTTAATACTTTTTAAAATATTTCATGTATTTAAGTACTTCAGATTTTCTTTCAAAGATAAGCTACAGCTGTTAATGTTATACATATTTAAATATGATACTAACGTATTCCAAAAGTTAGCTGCTTCATTTTTAAAAAAATTTAAAAATTTGAAAAAGAATTAAAATTGAAATTTTGCATTAATGCATTTTTTAAATATCTTTAATTAATCAATTTGTGAAATTAAATAATTATATCTGGATAAAAAAGCCATAATTGTGTTGATTCAGAGAGTCAAAAAATAAATAATAATGTATAATTATGAAGAAAAATTTGAAATTTATTAATTTTTGTTTTTGAAAAAAACATTGCTAACTTTGATAAATTTTATTTTTGACTTATACTTTACGTTGAGAATAATGAAAATATGTAAGCTACAAAATTATACAATCAAAGCTTTTCACATATTTTTATAAATAAAAAAACGAAAACGTAAAAATATATTTTCCAGCAAGTCTAAGTTGTAATACTAATTTTTCAGTTATTAATTTTGTTTTAATTATTATTGCTATTGCTTTAGTAAAGCAATAAGAAGAATGATTTGTCGTCATGGAGATTACGGGGATTAATTTTTCAAAATTTACCGAATTATTAAATTATTCAAAAAGTTTTGATGCAATAAACGAATAAAAATTCAAGCTAAAAGTATGGTGAATATAATATTATTTCTAACAAACAATGCTTCATCTTTGAACTTTGACCTTATTGTCATAACAAATGATATTCATAAAATGCTACAACTTTTTCGTTTATTTTACCTTTTGTTATTTATATTTGCATAAACAAAGTGCAAATTTTAGCAGTGAAGCATTGATTTACACGAAAATTTATACTTTAAAGTATTCAATAAAATTACCTCAACAATTTTTATAATTATTTATTACTACAAAGTTAAAATTGCTTCAGAATCTAATTATGCCTCAGATTCATATCACCATCTGAATAGTAATTATGTTCAGAATCATATCATCATCTGAATTATATCTATACTTTAAAAACTATTGATTTTAGCTTTTTTTTAATCGCCTTTAGCAAAAAATTGCATTTTTGATAATAATTCTATGTCAAAAATAGATAAATAATAAAAATATAGCAATATAGAGAATTACTATTTATGGTAAGAAAATTTTTACAGAATTTTGATACCAAATAAGATAATAATATATGATTTTGAAGTATAATTAGTATTCAAATGATGATATAATATACAAATATCACTAAGTTTATTTGCTTAATTTTGAATTGTTTTATTTAGACGATTTAGTTTTACTCATTTAAAAAATGATGAATTTTTAAATCTGAGCTTTTTAAATTTAAATTTTTAAATCCAATTACCTATGCAGTCATTTAATATTTGCTCAGTATTGTTATTCAATCTAATCAAGATATTTATTCAAAAATGCAATAATACACTTCTAATTTTTGTTAACTTTTATCAGTAACAAAAAGATTTATTCGTTTAGTACTTATTATGCAAAATTTATAAAACAAAAATTTATGCATTTTAAAATTTTAATCGGAAAAATACCAAAATTATTTGACTTGAATTACTTTTAAATAATAATTATGCAAGTTTTATTTAAAGATAAAATATCAACAACAAAAAAATTATTAAAAAATTAAAATTAAGTAAAAGACTCGTACTACTTGCCAACGTCAATGCAAGACAACTAACAATGAATGCTATTTAGCACATTTTAATAAACTGAATGAGAAATGATCTCTGTTTGTATCAATTCTTTATTAATACTATTCTTTGTTTAAGACTGAATTTGCATACTCGAAGAATTGAATATAAACAGTTTGCATTTTTTTTATTCATAATTTTATTTGCTTCACAAATTCCACAATCCATTGTATTCTTGTTAACATCATTGCTGTAAATATTTGTATTATTGTCATATGTTTTATTTGTAATAATATTATCATGTTAATTGGTTATTTGTTATTAAATTATGAAGGTTTGAAATACAGATTGTTGGTCGGAAGTCGCGATCTTTGATCTCGCGACCATGTGTGGCACGTGTGATGCAGCTAGATGTTGATGGATTGCGGAATGTGTGAAGCCAGGAGAAAACTACTTGCAGATAACAATTAAGAAGTGTGTTGCTCAGGTTCAGGTGCTAAACAGCAGGTACTGTTGAACCTAGTGGTATGCAGAGAGTACGTATATAGAACTGGCTGATTCATGCTCGTATATTGTGAAGAGATCAATATGCCAGCATGGATTGGCAGGTTTCTGAGAAGCATCACATGAAGATGGCTAATTTCAGCAAAAAGCAAGGAAGAAACACAACAGAAATGAAAATATAGCAAAGAATTCTTGAAAAAAACTCAAGGGTACAAACACCTTGCAGGTGCACCTACTTGTGAAGGCTACGATAAAATCCGAGCAGAGATTTAATCGGAATTAAGCAGCTAGCCAAAACTGTACCACCCGGCAAGAACTTTATCAAGGCGGTGAATGAGCAAGCCTTAAGTTCAATCAACTATCACATTGGGGTGTTCAAACTGGAACCAGAGGATTTTCAAGCAATAAAAAAAATCTTAGCATTGAAAACGTATTAGCAGCCCAGAGGGCATTCTTGTATAGCAAATAGAAAAGAAAGCCCATCACGCAAAGCTATACAAGATGCGAACGAATAACATCTCGTCGATGGCTAATTTATGAATATGCCTACGATACCGAAATATTATTAGCGCTGATTCATCAATATCGCAAGATTAAACACGATATTCTAACCTCCAAAATAGAAATATGTTTGAAGTTGAGACACGTATGTGCCTAAATTGCAGGGAACGTGTGAAGACGATGGACCATCTATTGGATGTCCTGACAACGCAATACAAGAAAACGCTGTATCATAACTGTATAATAGAAGGCATAATGAGGTAATATTATACATTCATTTGAACTCTGCAAAATATATAGCCTGAAAGCATTTGAAAGCATTTGCTTGATTGTTTATAATAATTTTTGTAACATAATAACTGTAATCCAGACGTATGTACAATTTTTATTGCAAAGTGTTGGCAACCATTACAGTTCAATTGAGAATATAAATTTGCATAATTAGCCTTTGCTATCTCAAAATTATGCAGAAAAAAGACTTTATGTTGAGAGCAAAGAAGCCAAGTAAAAATTTATTTTGCAATTTTTTTTGAGATTTTTTTCATAATTTTAACGAATAGCTATTGAATTTCGATGTAGCAAAATTTGCATATCGATATTTTGATTAAAAAAATTTGCATATTTAAGTACACTAAACAACGTCTGCATAAACAGTGAAACATAAGCAGAAATAATCACTATTTACGGATTCATTGAAGGTGTGTGGTTGCTTTCTTACAAGGATGGCTAATCAGGTTGGGTTTTGTGATCTAACTAAGCTATGAGAGGGATAGTATCAGATTAAATCTGAGCTTATCCAGACTGAATTAATATTCCAAATTTTAACATTTTATCTTATATAATTCTGCTTTATTTTTCAATTCATTTCAAAAAAAATAAGTAAAAAAAATCAATAGAAGAATATTAATACTTTTACTTTCCATGATACAATTAATAAAGTTATTTCCGCTTTATTGCAGTACGAGCAAGTTGACGAATATTTGAATCAGTACAATGGAAAGGAAGCTTATGAATCGATTAAGAAGGTAATAATTAGATTTACTTTTCAAATTAATAATAAAATATTTTAGCGGATAACAATGACAAGCTTAGTGATAACTTATATCACATAAATTCTGATAAGTTTGTTAGCTTAGATGATATCGGACAGTGAGGATAAGAACGTTGGGTTGCAATATCGTTTAGCTCATTCCTGCTATATTCTTTCCAACTTCTGCCTCTCTAAGGAAGACAATCGTAACCGCCTCTTGGAAGAAGGTAACTTAACAAAAGCATACCAATATTATATTAATAATACTGATATTATAATAGTACTGATATTAATAATAATAATAATAATAAACTACGTTAATTGTGATGATAATAGTGGTTATTAGCATTAATGACGATGATAATAACAAGTTATGATAATAAAAGCTATCATAACAATATTAATATTAATAAGTGGAGTAAAGATTCTCGGTATTAAAAATTTGTGAAAAGTATGTATGAATTTGATTAAATTTCTAGTTTTAGCATTAAAATCCACATGACAGTTCAATCTTAAGTTACAAAAAGGCATCTGAAGGGTGTAGCAGCAATTTTTACTTTCATTACTTGTAAACTTTTTCTACATAAAAAATGAATAAAGTGTATATTTAAAATAGTTTTTTGGTTCATTTGTATTGCCAAAATATTCTGATATAATATTTGAGTTCAACAAATATTGTTATGACAATCATTATTACTATGTTAACTATCACTATCATAATTACTGCAAAATTTAAAAAGAAAGCAGTAACTTTATACCATGATTTTTGTTGCATTGAAATAGTTATTAAAGTTATTTTAAGTATTAGAGTTGAAGCATGAAAATTATTAATATTCATGTCCAATTTTTCAAAAAACAATTTATGCAAAATAATTTTATGCAAATTAGCTATGTTTTAGAACCAAATTAGTAAATAATAATAATAGTTTCTTGTTGTCGAATTTATTGTTTTAGAAATCTCTTTTACGGTACTTCAAACTGCAAAATTTTTATGCAAGTATTAAAAGTTACTTTATTTCAGTTTAAGATTAATCAGTTCTCATAGACAGATTAATTTGAATTAGTTGTTAACTTCAGCTTATGAAGCATGTAAAGTAGCTTACGAACTTGAACCCGAGAATTCAGATGTGCTTAAATGGTCAGCTATTATTACTGGCACATTAGCTGAATCTGAAAGCTTAAAAAGTGATCAACGAATTAAGTACTTGAAGGAATTCAAGGTTACCCAATTATCCCCAGTAAAATTGATTGCATTTAGGATTGAAATGTTCAAAAATATTTAAAGCAAATATCATGAAATTATCAAACAGGATATAATTACAATTGTACACCAACAAAATTTTTATTGTAACAAGAAATTAACTTTTGATTATCAAAAAATTCATTCAAGTAATCAACATACTGATATAGAATTTATACACATTATTAGCCACTTCTAATTTGCAAGTAATTTACTTGTAAGTTTTATTACTTATTAATAATACATAATCAACCACAATGATGTGTGAGTTCATAAACTAAGAAGCCATGTATGATTTGCAGAATTTCCTAGATGAAGCATTCAAGCGTTCACCAGATTCATCAGTTTACCACATGAACGGTCGTTTTCTTTATCGTGTAAGTTATTCTAATGATTTCCTTTGTTTTTAAAAAAATAGTAACTTTTCATTCATGGCTTTTATTGCATTGGAATAATTCACGCACACAGGCTTATAATTTATCATACTATTTAAATCTTAACTAATCTTGAATTATTTCCTTAAGTATAATAATTCTTTTTCGACTACAAACTTTCGTAGACATAAAATTCATTAGACTTAACGTAGATAATAATGACTGCTATTTTAGATGGCCACGTTAACAGAGGAAGAAAAAGACCACGTGAATTCAGCTTTTGGATCGATACCAACAGCTAGCATTGAAGAAGCATTAGTGCAACTACATAAAGTAAGAATCTCGAAAAATTTTTAAATCATAACAATTTTGAGAATATCAGCTTACATCATTTTCACAAGTTCCTGACTAAAATTTAAACTAAAATGATTAGTTATTCAGGCTGAAGAACTGACACCTGGTCACACGGACAACCTAATGTGCTTGGCTAAATGCTACATCGCTAAGGGTTTTTATATATTTTCATTTATAAGCTGAACCGATCATTATCGTTAAGAATAACATTTACTTTAATGGCATTGACAACAGATATTTGTTGCAATGTAAATTAAAACTTTATAAATATAAATGTTAAATCACTTATTTCACGGTTTCTTAAAGATAATTTATAGTCGACTAATTGGAAATAAACTCTTACAAAACATAAATGAAATAGCAGAAAGCAGTTGCTTAATTGAAATACTGCAGGAGATCTAACAGAAGCTCAGAAGTATCTGATTCCAGTCATTGAATTATCTACGATAGATGAGCTGGATGAGTTTCAGATGGCTGAAGCAAAACAGCTTTTAGCTATTACTACAGAAAGTCCTGAGGTAAAATTTTTTTCAAGTATATTTCTTGAATGAGGAGAGTAATCCTGAAATTAGTTAGTAAGATCTATGATTCGTAAATTATAAATAATTAGTACGCAGGCGTTTATGCAGTAAGCACTTTTAAATGATGTTAAGATGGTACATATCAGCAAATACATTTAATGTTAAACAGCAATCAGTACATCTAATACAGTAATGAGGGAAAGATAGATAATAGTTGGTAGTATGTGATAGCGTAAATGCTTATATAATTGTAGAAAAATTTTAAAACACTCTATACAATGTTTAGCAAAAAGATGACCATAATGAGCCAGATATATTGGCGTTGGACACAGAATCCGATGAATCAGAAGATACTAATTTAGATTTTACAACGGATACCGAAGAATTTTAATGTTTTAGCATAAAGGTTATTAGTGATAACAAATAATGTATATTTGTATTGTAATAAAAATAGTTGATAAATTCCATTTTTTTTAATCTGAAACTCATCATATAACATCAAATAAGCATGATATGAAATACCGAAAGGTGGCTCTTGTCTCAAACAACAACACTAAGTAAAACATCATACTATTTTAAAATTTGCTATTTTCGTAACGCAAAACATAGAATTCCACTTAAAGGATGAAAGGTCACGTCTATTGATTTATGAAAGGATGAAATAAAGAAATAAATAACGTCTATTTCACAAGTATCATTTATCAAAAATACACTTTTACGATTCTGCATTATGTGAAAGTTACTTTTTTGGGTTATTTTTTATATAAATGTATTACTATTTCAAAACAGCAACAAAATGTTGCGATACTAAAGTTTACAGAGTTGTGTTGAAGAGAATAAAATAAGCAAAAAAAAGAAATCTTAGTAGAAAGGTCCACAATTTTGTAAAAAGAATATGATGTGGAAAGATCATATACAAGAGTTTAAAAAATGTAGCGACTATCTTTCGAATAACCTAGTTTATCAAGACTCGGTTGGCAAGCAAATTTGATCATTCCTGGCGGTCCGCACATTAGAATCACTGTCTCACTGTCTTTACCAGGTCCAGGTAAATGCTCTTTAATCATTTCCACGTTCACATAACCTAAGAATAAAGATAAATGATATCAATATTAAGTAAGTTTCTTAGAAAACCTCAGATGATAGTTGTTAAAATTAAGCTCTTTCCAGCATCTGAAGAACAAATTTTTCCCAGAACCTTCATTATCGCAACATTACAATTTTTTTTATCTTATCGATCAAAATTTAATAAGCAACAATAGCACAACCCGTTGAATATTTCCATCCAGTAACTGGCTCCTCAATTGTATACCACGCATTAAATTGTTCGGAATGTTCAGCAGTTAATTTATCCAACTCATCCCTAAAAAGCAAAATTAATATTTCAGTCTACAATAAAATTTCTGTGATCACTGTAATCATAAACTGACTCAATAAAAACTGGCTCACACTGAAAAATAACACTTCAATATTTATTTTTATTGCTCTTAAAATGTGCAACTAAAATTCCTTTCAGTCACTGTTGCATAGAAAGAATGATATAAACTTAATGAATATGTAAAAAATGCTCATTAATGTTAAAAGCTGTGGTTCAGCTTTTACATGAAAAGATAGTGTTTACAGGAATCCATAATAACCCATGATCGATCCTGAGAGAATCTCAAAAAATATAAGTGATATTCGTTGATTACATCTTAAAAACCATACCTCATTAATATGTCAGATTCATCTTTGTTAGCGAAAATCAGTGACACCTTAGTATGATCATTAGGATCTTTGAAGATTGCTGAGATAATCTGCAAAATATTTTTAACTCATCTTCCCCAGTACTTATGTATTACTAATTACTAAGCAGGTAATGATCATTATACTTGTAACATTGGAGTGATTCCACTACCGCCTGCTATCATGCCTATATTTTTATACGTGTGGCGCTTTGGTTCATCTTTTTTTGATGATTTTACAGCAAAAGTACCATTTCCTTCATAAACGATTAATCCTGAAGGGCCACGAAAATCAATTGTTTCACCTGAAATGATAAACTATATCTAAAAAACATCATTATTTTACTGAAAAAGAAAGAAGTGAACTGAGAACACTTTAGCAATTCTGAATATCGCATTTTCTAACAATACTTTAAGGTAATTCTCGAAACCAGGAACCTTAGAAGCAAAATCTAATGATGCTGTTATCACAGCTGCTCTTACCATAATATAAGTTTGATATTACTAGCAACTAATATTTACAATTCAAATATAGCGTAGGAAAAACGAGCTGTCATCCCACTCAACTTCATTCATCCATGTTTATTTTCAGACAAAGAACTACATAAAAGTTGGTAAATATTTAATCACAGTGCCAAATAAAAATGAATTTATTGCCCAATTTAGTGAGTTGTAGCAGAGTAACGACATGCAAAATGTAATTCATACCTATTTTCATTTCTTCCAAATACTGTGTCATTTTACCGCCATCAGGAAAGTTTGGATGAGTATTTTTAAAATATACTTTAATCATTAAATCAACATATCCCTTATCATCATCAGATGATATCGGTGTATACGGACGAACCACTAATTTATTATTCACCTGCAAAAAAAGTAGCAAGTTCATTCATGAACAATGATAACTAGATGCACTATTAGCTAAAAAACATTAGCGATTCTCCGAAACATTAATACATAATAATTCATCATCAGAAGTAGTACTGACCAAAGCTGAGAGATGAATATGTTGGCCAGGAGGTAAACCCAGAACATGTTCTGCAGTAGGCAGTTTGAAACGAAACTTTCTCGTATTGTGATTTATGATTTCTTTACTAATTAATGATAATGGATACTTCTTCTCCGAATCCATAAGAGTTATCAATTTCTAAAAAAAATTAATTTCACATTCATAAGTAGAAGTCTTTTCATTAGAAATTGAAAGAGCAACATTCAAGACGCAATATAAATATATACTATTATTCAGCTGATAATACAATAGAACAATAGAAACCAAATTGTTAAAAATTTAATATATTTAATGTACTCAAGTATTTTTTCTAAACTGTGCGTTAACTACCTGCGATCAAAATTATTAATATGACGAGAATTATCATGTCCATACATGAATGCTGCAAGGTAACACTAGAACTACACTGAAACACAGCTAATAACATTAAGAAATGCAGTATTAATAAACTATTTTGTATTGCTACATGATCTGCTATTTACATGATGATCACAAAAATTAACTTGCCTTTGCAGCATTATCAGCACATGAACCAAATATACAAATGAAACCTTTGCTGATAAAATAATATATTGCAAAGGATGATAAAACTACCACAGATGCAGTAATGAGAGTAACATTGTTTAAGCCAAGTCCCGTGTTCAATACCATTAGTAACAAATAAGCTGAAATTTAAAAGTTTAACTGAATACGAACTTCCTTAAATTGGATAATATTGAGCACTAACAGAATCCTTAAATTTCTGTACCTTTCCTGCAACTTATACTCGTCTCATAGTAGTGCAACTTACACTCGTTTTATTGTAGAATAACAGGACCGATAAATTAAGTGTAAAATCACTACTTTACTTCAAACCTTTAATTTATAAAAGTGCAACCTCAAGTCACCTCAATAATATAGTTTGCAAGTTAGAACTTTTGGTATTCCGAGTCATGCCCCATGCACCTACAATTACCTTACACTCATTTTTTTACCGGCGCGTTCTTGAACAAAATCAAATATGTCACGTCATAGGATCAGAACACCTTTTCATGACTCAATCACTTACAACTTGTAAATATCAGAAACAACCGCACTATAAAAAATTTAACGAACTGAAAAACGTTACGCCCCACCACAATGACACAAAATGTTGCGATCCAATTCTTTGCATACTAAACCGAGTATTATAGGACGTTACCAACCAATCTTTGGCAACCTCAAATCTCTAATCACATTGAATTACCATTAATGCAAAACTTCAGCTAATCAAAACAGTATTTACTTATAGTTCCGTGACATCTTCCCCTGCTACAACTTTGTAAATATTTTACACAACGATAAGGTTCTAAATTAAGAAAGCTGCAGCTTCGCGCTAACAAGTAGTCAATTTTCTTCCCGATGTTCAGTGAAACAACGAAATCGACAGTGAAAGTTCATTATCAACGACAGATTTAACAATGTTATGAATCAAACAAAAAGGCGACAACCACGGCTTACATCAGATTACAATGGACAATAATTATATTTTATGTTAATTTAGAAATAGATTTAAAAAGCAAAATGAAAGTAAAAACGATTAATTTTTTTTTTTTGAGAAGACTTCAGAAAATGGACTCTGACGAATATTTCTTTCATTCTGCTGGTTACTTTCTACCAAAATTACAGCCATAAGAACTATAAATGTACCGGGAAGTCGAAAATAATTAATACTTATGCATAAAAATCATATAGAAAGCGACACAAAGCAATTTTTAATTCATTATGAAAGCTAGGCATCCCTTATTGTCATTCAAGTAACTACCACTGCTTGCCAATGCAAGCAAAAAAAGCAATAATGCTCATAATTTTTAAATTGCGCTTTAATTCGGATCATGAATCACAACGTGACCACTACACGTTTGCAGCATAGTACCCTAAAAACAGAGGAGTTTAATTTGCTCATTACGATCTACTAATATAAATATGCATTTGGTGACTATTCAAAACTTGCAAATTCATTGCACTCCATTACTTCCATAGCATCAAAAACCACTATCCCTCGATTCACCTTCTTTCAGCAACAAAAAGCTGACAGCCCTCCCTAAAAAGTAAACACTGATATGAATCAAGACTAAGGATAGTTTACCTTCAGTTATTCGCATGAGTCGAGAGAGTAAACTGCCACAATAATTTAGTTCATCGGCCTCTTCTTTTCGACTGTAATCATGCAAACTTTAAAACAACAGGCAAACTTTTACAGCAGAAGAATAATAATAACATAGAGGGTTAATTATCAAAAACTAGGTTCTACTGACTTCTGAAACTTCAACTTCTAATGGAAAACGACATTACTACAACTGTCGATTTCTATTATAAGAGCCTCACATTTTTCGTCACAAAAAAGACACATACACATTATCAGCAAAAGTCTTAAACAAATTTCAAATTGGCAGGGCTTAACAAAATTTTAGAAAACTTATAAAAAGGTCTGGAAAAATCGGCTACCTTGTCGAATACAGTGACAAACCGGTGACTGTCACGATCATGTAGTTAGTGAAATCGATATAGCATTGAAAATAATCTTTCCTGCATTTGTTTGTACAAAAAACTTCAACCACCCAGTTACTTAGAGATGTTTGGACCAAAACAGGAACAACATAGATTATATCTGGAACAATTTTGAACAATCAACATAAATTTTTAGGTCTAAAGAATGAGGTAACCAAATAAACTTAGATCGCAATGAATTACGGATGATTCATTTAAGATGTCCACAATTTACTGCTTCAATTTATCAACAAAACTTACAAGAAAAACTAAATAAATTGAAAAAGTGATCGTGACTAGCCACCGAATATAGTCAATAATCGTCAAGATTAATATCTTCAACACCGTAATTCAAATCATTTAGTTGGAAATCAACACGATAGCGCAGAAGACCTGAACAAAAATGATTGTCATTTTTCACTATCATCTTGACTGGCATAATCATATTTAGACTAAAAACTAAAATTTGGATATATATTAATAAAAAAAACTTTTGCTAATGAAGCTCATGAAATAAGACAAAAAGCAAACTCATGCACACCTCCAATACCACCAAAACCCCTCACAAACTGTGCTCCTTCCTGTGATCGATCTGTGACAATTTCTAAAGCAGCACCAAATGACTTGTAGTTATTTGCCAACCACTCTAATAGAGGCATCGAATCCATAAGTTCGAGCTCGACCCCAGTCTAAACAAAGCTGCTTGCCTACTTGTATTAATCATACTTAGATCAAAAACTAGGATTTTACATTTCCAACAATTTTGATCTATAAAAGTACATATTTGTAATATGAGAAATGATAAAATACTACGCTATATAGTTTTATGTGCATTAATCACACGTAGCATAGATTCTTAATAATTACAGTGGTTTTTAGGCTCATTTTTTTAACGAATAAACAAATTTTACAATTTAAGAAAATAGAAAGACATACAGAATTCTCGGTGAAGTGTCTCTTATTTTTTTCTTGAGCTGGCTCCAAATAGAGCAATTTGTCATCTGAATAATAAAAAAAGTTGAAGTTAAGTGTGAAAATGAATGTACTATAATCACAAATCTTGATCGAAATAAAGCATCCACCTCCAGTCACTGGATTTTTGAGTTGATATCGTATAATATCCAAATTTTCCCAACAAATAAGTGTCTCAACAGAGCCCATCTCCAATGCTTGCAAAGTATCTGTCACACCATAAACATATTTTCCGGAATCCTTCAACACATGCAAAGTAATTTAAGTGAGCTACTACATAAATCACTTCTACTGATTGAAAAAAACTGTTGTGCGATTACGAACAGGTTATAAATGCATTCATGCAACTCCTGCAGACTATCTGCACCTTGATTTCGGAAATTTGACTTTGAGATGCGTAAATTGGACACACCACAACTTACTAACTTCCATACATAATGTGAAATACCTTGTTTTCTGATATGAAAGAGAAAGTAAAATAAGGAAATCTAAAATTGATGAACCTGCGATATTTCATCAAAATATCCATTGATCAATTTCTTCTCTTGAATAAACTTCACATTAGCTAGCGCGTCTTCAGCTAATTCAATTGCTTGATTGAAGCCATTTTCGCCACCGTATGAAATATCAACTGTCCTTATAATTTTTGCTTGTAGTCGCTAAAAACAAAAAAACGATTCTGGGGTTGAAACAGTTCCTACAGAAGTTGCATAAGCCACGAGCTTACTAATCCAAGAAATATCTTACTTGGTCAAACATATCAGACTGTCCCAGCTCTGTTTTAAAATCAGCGCTACCAGCTAAAATCAACCCAGCTACATTTACTTTATCATTTCGAATAAATATCTCGACTGCTGTTTCTGCTACTTTTCTCACGTAATTATGACGTTTTTCCATACGAAGACGTGCGAAACGTAATGCTGACTGCCCACCTCGACCTGAAAAAGCACTTTCAAGTATGATTTTTAAAATATTCATGCAAGCGCATGACTATTCAAGTAAGAGGTTTAATCATTATATCCAGATGATTATTCACAATATTGAAAAAGCTTTTACAAGGATGATGATACACAACAGATAATTTGGCAAAATATGATAACAAACAGGATCTAGTGGAACCAGGTAGCGAGAAAAATGCGGATAATTACCGTGCTTCTTTGGCAAATCAACAGTGAATTTGTGGAGAACTTCACGAGTGTTACCTTGCAACGTTCCGAACAAAGAACCATTACCATCCATTATAATGAACCCAAACTTGTTATCATCAGCCAAAAGAGCTAGAGAAAAAAAGTGAGCGTAACAGAATAAATTTTTGACGCGTAACAATACTTATCGGATAAAAAACAACAAAATGATTGAAATAACACATTTCTCCCATAGAAGTGTGATCAAAACACGAAGAAATCAAATAATTTTTTCGGAATCTGATGTAAATCTATAATTCATTCACCAACTCTTTTAAAAATAACACACACCTTGTAATGCTTCTGTATGAAATTTGTTATCACAAAGATAAAGCGATGTATTAATTGGTTTGAATGGTTCGAAATCGATATTGACCTTTTTCTCTTTACCTTCATCAGTTACAATCGTACCACAATAAATTACGAGACCATTATTCGGTACTAAATTCTTTTAATTCCCAAACAACTAATAAAATGAGCCAAATATAACATGAAATTCTCATACATTATGCATCATAACTTAAATCTGCTATTTGACATAATTTACTTTTTATCATCCAATGTATTAGGACAAAATATTATAAGCTTTTATCAACAATTTCAATTTTTCAACAAATGAATAGTGACCTTTGTTGTACAATTTTAGCCTTCCCTGCACTGATGTAATTGCACCTAGTACAGATAACCGATTCACTCGAGATTTAATATTAGATGCCGTGCCATATTCATCGGCTAACATTTTCGAAATACGTGCAATCTGGTCTCGAGGAGGAATTATTAACGAAATCATTGATGTACCATTCCTATAATTTTGGTAACCACAAGCAATTCAAATCAAATCATTATTAATCTGTTCTATATTGCACAGAAAAAATTCATGACTAACCCCCGCGCCATTTCCAAACTCTTGATCAAACGTTTGATCTTCCACACCTCAACATTATGATCAGCGGCAAATTCTCCGGAACCACATGGCCCAGACATTATTTTAACTGCTATTTAAATATTCCAAGTTTATTGCCGCAGCTACAAATTTGAACAAAAACCGGAATTAAAAACATAATCAGTAAGATAAACGATACAAGGCTACGAATAACAAAATATCTACGCAAAGTCTTTTTAACTCACAAAAAAATTTTAATTGACAGTAGCGAATTTGATAAATTACACTTCAAATGAATACATGACTTTTCAATACCATCATTAATGACAGAAGTTTATGAATTATGGCTTCTGTCATTGATGATGGTATTGAATTATGAGAACCTCAAAAAAAACTTTGAAAGTGTTGAATGCAATCGCAGAATTGTTAGTGAAATAATTCTGTACACAACTGTTGCTGTCCAGATGAATGAGGATTATCTTACTAAGTTCAGTAATCACATCGTTATTCATCAATTATTATACTAAATGAATCTTCTCATTGCATGCATTCGATATAATCCTTCTGTTAATTAATATCTCTCGCAAAAATATACACAGCATGATAATAAAATCACTCTGTGAAAATGAGACTTCCTTATGCCATCGTAAAACTGACAAAAACCTGAAGGGCACAAATAGATATTATCTCTTTCTGCTTAGAATGAAACACTTCATGGATATTTAAATGCTACATCTCTATATACTTCAACTAAAAACGTGATGTTGGTATGACAGAATATACTTTTTTTGAAAACTTCTTCCAACATCAATTTCACATTTTTTGGAAGCATCAAATTACTTGCGCCAAGGCCGAACTTCTAACTGGTCTTGATACTACGATTCTGCAGAGGAACATCAAATATGACTAGCCAAGATTTTTACAACAGCCTTTTCAACCTTAATATTTCGTAAAAACTAAAAATTGTGAAAAGCAAACACTTATATTTACTAGCTAGAATCAAACTGACAAAAATTACCTTTGACTACAGCATGATTTTTAACTAACTGATTGAGTCATTTTCTATGAAAACTAGCATAAATAAGAAATCTATAAAAAATCATAATTTATTTTTTGAGAGTAAATTACAAAACAGTTCTTAATCTTAGTGCTTATTGCTTAAATATGTTTAATGAACTCAAAAAACTGATCAAAGAAAACTTACTACATTTACTTCATACTGACCAAACATAGGTAGAAGACGAGATACCGTCATACAACCTAGCAACCCTACCCAATCACCAGCATTACAAACACCATCTACCCAAAAAATCCTTGAGTAAATTGTCAGGCAAAACATCAAGCACATACGTGGGAGCGTAATGAAAATTTTATTTCTCTCGTTTATTATATAATTTCATTCTTATTGATCAATATTACATTCAGATGTGCGCATATTTGAATTAGAAGTTAAATGGATGCGCACTTTACGTATATGAATACATGAATATCACTCATTAGGTACCGAAGTGACTATACAAAAAAGTAAAATCTGTTTTATTTTCACAAAAATAAAATTCTGTAACTATCAATAGAGTACACATCAGACCGTCAAGAGCAAGTATTCAAATATTTATTTGAACAACTAACAATTAATGGCCGGAATTAAATATTAGATGAATGGTTGAAAAAATATTAAAGTTGCCTGAAACTTTGCTTTTTTGAGTTATTTTTGATAAAAATTTTTCATTCACACAATTCTACCTCAATCAATGTAAGTAATAAGCGATGAATAAAGCAGGTAATTCATTGGTGTAAAGTTCTGATGGAAAAAAAGGAAGATTGACGCAGTATACAATTCGTTTACGTAACATTTCCTTTTCACTCGTAGACTACTTCCCTTTTCTGAACCTAAAGTAATCTGACAACTAATTTACTACTCCAAAGTTAGTATGAACTTCAGCAGCTAAAAAATCGTATTCATAAATATACAGTTATACTGCATATGTTCAGTAAAGAAGATAAATAGGTCTGTGGTACAGACTATTTTCACATCGATTCTGTAAAAAACTTGAATAGGTGGGACTGATTAATTAGCGGTTGGAATTTCGATTAAAGTTATTGGTGTGGATTTTAAGACGTAACTTAGGTATGGGTCGCAGAAACCGTCATCGTATGAAACCTACGAAACGTGATGCGAATTCTACTCCAATGCAAACCCAAAATGGCATATCATTTGTTGCACCAAAAAACGTGGTAAACAGTGCAACAAGTAATGAAGTTTCGAAAAATGATATGGATGAGTTATCGGCTTGTAAGTTTTCAGTCCATAATATTAATAGTCTTATTGTGATCTGAAAGAAAAATACACCAAACAAATTACTTCTCTATTCTTTTTTATGTTTGTTT